AAGATTTCCTTCTTTGATTCAAAATGGGCATTGGAGTTTGGCATTGAACAATGTTTTCATTTCTTTTTTCAGATATCCCAACAATAACTTGTGCTCTAGAAAATCTAGAAAATCTGCAATGTATCATGCCCACCACCTGGAAACTTTTCTCAAGCAAAATATTTACATTGATCCAAAATTAATTCTAAGAGCAGAAGGAACTTGACAGTTGGATTTGTCTTTGAACACATGTATATCCCACAGGCTGTCCTGGATAGGCTTGCAAGGTGGGCGGATCAAAACCTGATGATGTTCAACACTGAGAAGTGTAAGGTGCTCCACCTGGGGAGAAACAACCCTCAACAAGCTTACAGGCTCAGCAGTGCTACACTTACCAGCATCAAAACCAAAAGAAACCTGGGGGGTCTTGACAAACCATAGAATGAGCATGAGCCACCAATGCAATACCATAGGCAGAAAAGCAAACAAAACACTGGCATGCATCTACCGATATATCTCAAACAAAACTAAGGATGTCATCCTTCTTCTTTTCTCAGTCTTGGTGAGGCTGCAGCTGGAGTTCTGTGTCCATTTCTGGGCACCACTTTTCAGGAAAGATCTGGAGAGGATTGAGAGAGTCCAAAGAATTGCTACACACGTTTAGATGTATGAAGAGCAGGCCATATGATGAGAGGCTGAGAGACATGGGTCTGTTCAGCCTGAGAAAGAGAAGACTCAGAAGGGACTTGGTGGCACCTTATAAGTATATAAGGGATGCATATCAGGGACTGGGAGAACATTTGTTCACCAGGGCTCCCCAGGAGAAGACTAGGACTAACGGTCATAAATTGCTAGAAGACCAATTTAAATTAGACATAAGGAAAAACCTCTTTACAACTCAAGTGTCCAGGGGCTGGAATAGACTTCCCCCAGATATGGTACACTCTAGGGCTGTACAAAGCTTCGGTCGCTGATTTGATTTGGTGGAGATTCGGCCTGATTTGGTGGCCGAATCTCTGAATCCGAATTGAATTAGGAGACCCTTTAATCTCTCCGAATTGAATCAGAACCCCCTGAATTGATTTGGAGAGATTTGGAACGATTTGATGATTTGGACATAGACACAGCTTTAAATATTTTGTCTACATACTCTAGGTACCAGGCAGCTCATGAATGCTGAGATGGTGGGGTGGATGGAGCATCCCACAGGAGTTCGGGGTGTTCCCAGCACACTTGGTAGCAGACCTGGAAGTGGACCAGAAGCACTTCTGGTCCACTTCTGGGTTCTCTGGGGAGTGTGCAGGGGGCCGCCCTGCCCCCCAGCTCAGTGACTGGTGCCTCCTGGGTCTGGGAGTGCACTTGGGGTCCCCCCACAGCTGATCACTGAGCTGGGAGAGTGGGGGGGACTTGTGCGCCCGGCAGTGGATCTGGAAGTGGACTGGAAGTACTTCTGGTCTATTTCTGGGTTCACCACCAAGCACGCGGGACCCCCTGTGTTCCTGTGGGACACCTCATCCACCCCACCATCGCAGGGTTCATGAGCCATGCCTGGTACCTCAAGGTATGTAGAAAAAACATTTAAAGCTATGTCTATGGCTGAAGTGCTGATTCTATTAATCAGCATCAAATCTTCAGATTTGGATTTGGCCAAATCAAATCGGGACAGTGATCCAAATCAACAAATCAAATCACTGTCCCCAATTCGAGCCAAATCCGAATTGAATACAGCCCATTTCGCACACCCCTAATACAATTACCTACTCTGGATATCTTAAAAAATTGTCTGGGTGCTCACCTATCTGAGGTCATCTGACCTCAGCAGTCTTTCCTGCCCAAGTGAAGTGGGGCTGGACCTGATGATCTTGAGAGGTCCCTTCCAGCCCCTAACATATCTGAATCTATAATTTTATTTTTCACAAAACTCCTTGATTTGTTGTTTGTACCATTTTTCTGGGCACTGTATAATCTTGTAGAAAGACATGATCCTTGTTTCAGAGCTCTTATAACCTACGCTTGTTTGATTTGCAGTTATTAAAAGGGACCTGCTAATTCTCACCCTTGATTCTTACATAAAAGCCCTTTGAGTTTGTGGCGCTGTTTCCATCTCCCATTATTTTTTCATTTTTGCTCTCCACTGCTTCCATGAGCTTTAGCACTCATTATTTTTCTATGCCTCTTGTCAACTCCAATACTTCGTTCACTTTACAAATCTTCAGCCTTCCTCACTCTACTCTCTCCATCCCCTTGCCACCCCCACAACCCTTGCTGGCAGGCCCTTCCTTTCTTTGGCCAATCTTACCCCTGCCCTACCTTTCCATTCCCTCACTCCCAATCTCTCTGAAAAGGCCACCCAGCTCTAAAAAGATAACCACCATCCATGTGCTCTTTATCTCTTGCTCCTCCCATAACTCAGGACTTGCTGACACATGGTTCTCTTCTCTTGCATTGCCTTTGAGCTGTTCTCTATCACAGTTGCTTCTCTTTGAATGCTCTGTGTCACTTGCAGTTTGCTCTCATTTGTTTTCTCTCTCTAGAACACCACTTCATCAAACATGGTTCTCTTCTCTCTTTCTGTGACCAATCACCTCACTGACACCCCCATACTCTCTCTCCTCTGACTTTGATGCATGGCTCTATCTCTTTAGCAAACTCTACCCTTATCCTCTGTGTAACACTGAGGACTATATTGTACCAAATTTAAAAAAAACTGTTTTTGAAAGGGTATCAGAGGACATAAGAGTCAATCTGCATTATAAACATCAACAAACTTCCTCAGTTGAATTATAGTCTCATTTGGCTTTATCCAAAGAAGTTAGAGATGAAAAAGACCAGGTCAGAATATGTGGCCTAACCTTACTAGTCCACAATTATATCTTTGAATGTTTTTACTGGTTTTAGATATCTCACTTAATTACTTCTGTAGACTATTCCATAACCCAGCAGATCTATTTATCAGGAGAGATTTCATAGCATTTAGTTAGGTTGAATTACTATGGACAGTTCATACTAAGGATCTATTGGCTTGTTTGTATGTTGAGGGGGTTGTTTCTTTGTTCGTATGAGTGTAGCACATTGGGGTCTCAGGGGCAGCCATGATGCCCCCTGGTGGCTCTGCAACTGTGCTCCACTCTGGCTCTAGGGTGTCCTCCCTTCTGTCTCGCCCACCATGCCTTGATGTAATTATGCAATTAAAAGGGAGGCTGCCCACAGGCCTTAGCATGAGCCCTAGGCCAGCCAAATCCCCACTGGGGTGCCATTGCACCCCACTGGTCTTGACTATGCCCTCAGGCTCAGTGGGCCCACACAGCCTCACTGTGCCTCTACAGGGCACCTACAGCCTTAAGGGCTAATTGGGTGTCTCTGTTCCTCCCCTACACTATGCCCCAAGCCATGGGGGTGTCACTGTTCCATCAAGCTGTCCTGTTGGGGCTTTGGCCTCCTCAGTCTTTGCCCCTTTTCTCTAGCCGGGCCTTCCAGCCTGGGCCCACTGCATTGGACCTGGCTTTGAGGCACCAGCTCTAATCTTGCTCTTTTGGGCACCTGGCCCCTGTCCACTGGGCCCCTGGCTCCTGTTTGCATCCCTATTGGGTGCTGGGAACCTGGCCCCTGTCTGGGCTCTGTGGCCCCTGCTCTGTCCTGCTGTGGGCTCAGCACTTCCTCGGACTTTGAGCCTGCCTTAGCTCTTCTTTGATCCACATGGTAGATGTTGCAAATGAAAGAAATGTTAAGACCTTGTCCATTGGTGAAGGGTCCTGTATTGGATAGGAAGGGGAGATAACCAGAAAATACAGTAAAATTTTCAAATAAACTTAAATTGTAAAATGCGCAGAGAGAAATAAGTACCACTTTATTCATGTTAGGGTGGGTTGTCCTGGCCCCTGTCAGAGCACCATCTGTTTTAGATTAAAGCTGAAAGACTTTCTCTAAAATGATGTTCATGCATAGGGTTCACAGCTGCAGAAATAACCAAGTCTTTTTGTGTTTGGTCCATCCAAAGAGATGCTTACCTAAGATATTTTTTAATTAATTTATTTGCAATGCTGGTGAACTCAAATAGGTTCTCTTCTGATCCTAACAATTGATAATATTACAGCTAACATCAGATTTTGCCACTCAGCAATGTCAGAAAGGGGGCCGACATGAGTCTGCCTAGCTGTCTGACTGCCTATAAAAATGTCCTCTACAATAGAACTGGAATGCATTTTCCTTTAGCTTTTAAACTTCTCATTGTAAAATTATTAGTGGCCTCATCAGATTAGCTAGTGCAAGGAGCCCCCAGAGTAGAAAGGCAAATCATCTGCCTTCATAACAACTTGTGCATCTTTCCTGCTAAAGGAAGATATGAGAACAAGTTACCTTCTAGCCTTTTCTATTATATAAAACAAAAAACAGGTGCTTGATCAATAATTTATGATTAAGCATTTTACTTGAACTAAAAGGCCTAAGTGGTACAGTCATCCACCCTGGCAATCTTCAAAAAACATCTTGATGCCCATCTTGCTAGGGTCATCTGATCCCAGCAGTCTTTCCTATCCAAGTGAAGGGGGTCTGGACCTGATGATCTGTAAGGTTCCTTCCAGCCCCTAACAACTATGAAACTATTACTACTACAGTGGGTCAGCCCTGCTCAAACTGATTTCAATGCCATGACTCAGGCCATGTCCAGAAAAGCACGGACATTTGATTCCCTGGGGACAACTGGGGGCATCTTGTGCCACTGCTAGCTGTCCTTGGGAACATGCATGCCATGCGCCCTCTGGCATGTGGCAGGTTACCTTGGGTGGTATAGAGGAGGGTGGGTCCAGCAACTGTGCTCAGCCTTACCTGGGGCCCTGGGGGCAGGGAAAGGTGCAGCTATGTCACTCCTGCAGCTGGGAGCCTGGCTGGCAGCTGCAGCGTGGCTCTGGCCAGCTAGGCTCTGGTTTTGGGTGTGCGTGCTGCCTCCATGTGCACCACCCTGCTTTTTTTTGTGCAGGATTTTTGATCCCAGGATCTCCTGGAGTCAGCCCCCCTCCACACACACACGCTGTAAGGTAGCAGTGCAGGAAACACCTGAATGTGCAGTGTATTGTGCTGCAGACAGGTCTGCAGCACCACATACGGCATGGCTGCACTCTTCAGGCTGGAGCCTCACTGAGCCATAAGGCCCATCTTGCTGAAGACAGATGTGAACATGGGGTAGTGCCCCTAGTCCAATATTGATTTAAAAAAAATTAAATCCTGCCCATTAGAACAGGAAGCCACTACTCAGATGTCATCTAGTTGCCTGACTTCAATATTTGATTGCCTGTATTTCTCTCCTTCAAACCTTGATCAGCTCAAATTGGTTCTGCTCAAATTGCTAGTCTGAGCTGTTGTCCCTGGGAGGAGGTACCCTGACAGACCTACCATTGTATGCTGACTCTGTGAACCGATAGCAAGATTTTCTGCTTTGGAGTACTCTAGTTTGAAAAAAGTGCGAGGTGCAGCTTTTCATTTAACTAATGTAAGTCATACCAATTTAAAAGAATGACTTGGTTGTACCACAAGTTTTTTTTAATACATTTATTTCTGTTTTCCTAAGAAGACTCTGCTAGCTTTGGTTTTCAATTTAGCACTCAGAAAATTCAGTCCTTTACTAAAGTAGTTATCTTAGATCTGAGAGTTTTCTGTTGTATTTTGTATCTGCTGAACTGAGGATAAGTTTATTTCTACACTAAATATTCACATGAAGACCTTTTTTCTTTTCTCAGGCTTAAAATGTTTTCACCTGGAGCAAAGGCAATGTTTGGATGCCTAAAAAACTAAATATTTTACAGTAGCTTAAAGTGACTGTGGCATTGTACAGGTCCCTTCACCCTTCCCCCCAAGTTTCCCCCACTATCAGTAATAAAATATTCTAATACATCTATGATCTCTTTACTGCAACCATCCATTCTGTCTTTATTAGGAAGGAGGAGAAAGGCCCAGTCCATTTCTGCAAAGCCTTAAGCTTGTAAGTAACTTTATGCATGTGAGCAGTCCCACTGAAATTACTCAAACCACTTGTGATTACAGTTTAAGCATGGTAGAAGTGTTTGCAGGATCCGGGCCAACAACGTAAAAACAAGTAACACCAACAATACTCTGCGCTCATTATGGAGATCTCAGATAGTTTGCTTGCATGGGAGAGTCAATCATGAGTTCACAGGGCTTTCCAACTCTGCAGCAGGGAACCTAGAAGCCCTGAGAACCCCTGTCACAGAGCCAAGAGCCTGGAAGTCTTGAAGTGGTCTTCAGGCTCTACTGCACAGCTGTTGAACTCCATGGCTCCCAGACTCCTTAGCCTGTCAGCTGCTCTGTTGGTCTGATTCCCACTGCATGAAGAACCAGCTATCCCAAGAACTTAAAAGTCCTAGGACAGTCAGCCTCATAGGGCTTCCCTAGAGCCACACACCCTAGAAACGTGGACTTCCAAGCTGCTGCCTTTTCAAGAAACATTTCAGTTCTGGCAAACCAGTCTTTTCAAGCAAAATCACATTCCTATCAAGCTCTCAGTTGTGAAGGAAAAGTAACAATAGAACAGATATACGTATGTGACCGATGCAATTGTTTAGGTATTTGTCATTCTTATCAGGTGTATGAACGTGTATATGTATTTCAAGTGAAAAATAATTTAAAAAATAGAAAAATAGAATTTTAAAACAGTATCTAGGGAACTAACTTGTGGGCTGATTCTGGTAAGGTCAGTGGAAGAAACTCCTGACTTCAGTGAGAGCTAAATGATGCTAAAATGATCCTAAAATGTTGAATCCATCATCCACATATCCACCTCTCTTCATACTTTCATCTTCAACATGTTCTTCCAACATACATTTCCATACTTCTTTCTTGCTAATTAAAGAGAAAAGCAATATGAGAAAGATAGTGGATTCTTTTAACGCCACAAATGACGTCAGTAAATCACCCACTTAATTTCTAGACATTACCCAATAATGCCCAGTATTAATTTTTTTTCTTAACTTACACTGTACTTTACCTGTAATGATCTTGAACTTTGATGTGTTGTAGGACAAAATAGATTTGATCATCATCATTCTTTTTCTCTCTCCTTTCCTTGGTATTTCTTTCTTCCTAATAAGAAACATGCATAGCTTATTACCCATTATTTCCCTTCTACTATAAGGGTTAATCCTACTATGGTTCCAAAACTATTCTCAGGACAATTACTTATACTTCAGATGTGATTATATTTGTTTCCTATGCATTATTAAGCTTTATTATAAGAATTCTACTAACTGGGCATATCTATATGAGACATTTACTGCAGTTGCCTAATTAGCTCCACATTAAACATCTCAGTGTCTACACATGCAGGGCTATTAAGCTGGAGTAAACTAATAAACTCTGCAGCAGGGTAGTACTTGTAAATACAAGTACTATACTGTTGCAGAGTTTTTTACTTCATAGGACCAGATGTAGAGGCTGACATGACTGGCTGGGGCACGAGGGTGCTTCACTGCACCTCCACAGCATGTTGAATTGGGCTGGGGCAGCTCTGGGCTAGCAAGCTGACCCCATGGACCTCCTGCCATCTAGGTCTCCTGTGAACTGGCTCAATGTGCTGTGGTTCCAGGTGCATGTGTAAATGTGGCACCCAGGAGCAATACATTCCAACATGATCTGCACCAGAGCCTACTGTGTCACATTAATATGCACATGTAGACACACCTACTGTCTACTTTATTTCTTCCTAGGCTTGTTTTTCATAGAATTAAGAAAAATATGTATTTGAACAGTTATTCTGTTGAGCTGGAATTTTGAATCTTCAATCAATAAAATCATTTAAAAATCAGGCCTTGCTTGCTTGACCCCATCATATGATAAGCATTAATTTAAGAATCGGTTCAGAAAAATGTGTTATTAAAATGAATGAGTGAATGATCTTCAGTGATAAAATCAGTATAAGATTAGATCAGGATAAAGGCAGGGACCAAAGCACTATCCAGTAACCAGGAGTGTCAAAGACAGTGTTGAAGGTACCTAATCCAGTAACAAAGGAAAGATAGGATACAGTTTAATATGGATTTAATCATGAAAAGGAAAATCAGATCATGGCATACATAATGCAACTTTTCCCAGTACACACAGACATAAACACTCAAGCAAAGTACCTGGACCTGTTTTATCTATCCACTCCAGTGCTATATTGTTGCCTTGCAGACATGGGCCACATCCAGACATGCAGGCACATGCAGTTTATGGTGCCACAAACTGCACATATGAAGCATTAAAACATGCCCCACACTGCAAATTTGCAGCCTGGGGACAAAATTTGCTACCAGCATTTCCTGGTAGCAAAAAAAAAAGCACCAGGGAAAAAAAGCCATACATAGCACATGAAAATAGTGTGCGCTGGAACAACAGAGGCTTGGTCCTCCAGTGAGATGCTCTGGCTGCTACCCAGAGAAACTCTACTGCTTCATTTGTGCTCCTGCTGCTCCAGCATGCTGGGGGGCAGGGAGGAGCTGGGCAAGGGCAGTTTGCCTAAAATGAGACAGTTTATTCCACAACAAAGCACATGTGCAGGGGCATGTACTGAGCACAAAGTAGTGGCACAAATTTCTGCCACTAGTATTTTTGCTGCTGTAAGTTTGTGCCCCTGCATGTCTGGACACAGCCATCAAATACAAGCAGAAATACCTGAGCTACTTTTAAACCAGGTATCTCTGGTACTGTGTACAATGTAGCTGTGATTGCATCACCTGAGTATTTACTTAATTTTCAATGCAGCTATGCAGCTTAGCATTCACTAGTTAGCAGCCAGATAGAAAGACCTGATTCTTTGAAAGAAATTCTAAAGTTATGATCTTTGTAACTGTGTGAATTTTGACAGTTGTCCACCACTTGTCTCAAATCAGTTTCCTGTTCTCAACAGACTTGAGTCCCACTTTGTTGAGTGGTGCTGTATTGTTCATGTATTGTTGGTTGTCCAAGAATTATATAACAATTTAGAAAGTCTACTGAGCTACACAGCAGCCATGACTGATGAATTTCTGTAATGCATGGACTGTCTGTCACTAGTTGCCAAAGACATGTTTTCAGAGGGCAGAGGAAAAACAGAATATAGTGGGCGTCTGAAGGTCTTGATACACGTGCAAGTGACTTATCCAAAAGTGGATTCAACTGCATCTGATTTAGATGCATTCCCATGTCTAGGGGGGTGATACATGTTCATTTGATTGTGTGTTGTTATGTATCTCATAGCACCACTGGATGGCGCTTACACGCCATGATGTTTTTTACAAAGTAGATTCATGTACTTTGAATTCTCATGCTTCAAGTGGCGCTGTTCTAGACAGAAAATATATCTATTTAATTTTAATTTAGCTGTAATTACTTAGCTGTAATTTAAATACTCCAAAAGCTTAAATATTTAAACACGTTAAATAAGTAAATGAATATTAAAAGCTTAAATATTTAAGATTTAAATAGTTAACTTTAATAGCTTAGCTTTAATTTAGCTGTAATTAATAATATATATGTCTGTCTGTCTGTCTGTCTGTATAGAAAATAAATTAAAGCTTTCCTCTCTGTAAAGAATAACATTTATTTGCTTGCTATTCTGAGCCTGGTTTCTTCTTGGGGGAGGGACAGTTAAGGGGTTAAATCCCACCACTGTTTGTGGTCAAGGGGCTACTTGACTTCACAGTGGTACCAATTACCAAGTTGATTGCTCACTAATTGTTCCTATGTGCTAGACCACTGGTTCCCAACCACTGGGCCCGTGGCCCAGTGCTGGGCTGCAAAGGGTTGGCTGCTGGGTCATGGCACAGTGGGGCAGCCCCAGAAGGGAGGCAGCCAGCTCTGTGCGCCCTGTCCCGTTCCCACCACCATGGCCATGTCCGGTGAGGCACTGCCCACGCAGCAGGTACTAGGGCCCACACGGCAGGTACCAGGGCCCGCGCCGGGCCGGGCAGGACCCCCCAGCCCCACCTGCAGCTGGGAGCAGGGGGATGCAGGCGGGGAAATGCCTGGGGCAGAGGGTGGGGAGGAGGCTCTGCTGCTTGCTTCTAGAGAAGGCAGTGGAGCCCCTTCTTCCCAGGCAGCCCCACCTGGGTCCTGCTGGGCCACCTTCTGCACAGCCCGCTCCCTGCAGGGTCCCCCAGTGCCCATGGCTGTGGTGCTCCAACCCGATCCAATCCTCACAACCCCCCCCACATAAAAAATAAATGTAAATATGTAAATGAAATATCAATGTGTAAATTAGATACCCAATCTGCCAAAATTCTTTGAGTGAGTTTGCCGGTCTGCAGTATAAAAAAGGTTGGGAACCACTGTGCTAGACTTCTAGGTTCTATCCATTTGCTTGTGAAATTTAAAAGCTGTGTGGATATTCTTATTTTGCCTATAACAACTGTATTTCTAGTTATCATAAGGGTAAAATTATAGCAGGTTAACATGTGGGTAAATTTAACAGGGCATAATGCATAGGACCATGAAATCTCAGCCACCTCTTCACTGTAGCTTAGCTGAAAAAATGCTTTAGGGCCTCAGGGGGTCACACTGCACAAACTGCCAGCACAGACTGAAGGGCCTGAGCAAGGCTGGGGGGCCCTAGGGCTCAAGTGTGAGCTCCCAGCCCCCAGCCACCCTCCTGGACCCTAACACCCATGCTGCCCCCACAGGTCCCCAGCAGCTTGGTGCCTGGCTCCCGCCCTGGCTGTTAGTTACACACCTCACTCGCCACATTCCTCAAACCATGAAAGGCATATAGAAATGAACTACATGAACAGGGATATTAATTAGAACATCTGCTGAACAGGGAGTGCTTTCCCTCAGGCCCAGCCAAACTGGGGGAGGAGGGGAGAGGATGGGACCCAGGACCTGAGAGAGCTTCCCCAGGGTTGGGGTGAGATTTTTAAAGCTCCCCCAGGTGACCTACGGGGTTTGTCCTCGGACCCAGCTCCGAAGTCCCAGAGGCCCTTGCATTCAGCTCCTTCATGCCACCAGTCTGCCCAGCACCTGTCTCAGAGCTGGCTCTACGTAAGTGAACTTTACCCTAAGAGCAGAAATGAAAACTGCTCAGGCGTTGCCCCTTCCCAGAAGGGCCAGTCCAGCCCACATGGCTCTAACCCCTCTCGGGGTGCTTTGTCTCACATGTGAAGCAAGTCTGCCAGTTCTCAGCCTTAGCAAGCAGGTGGCCCTGGCCACTGAAATATATTGCCTCTTGCATGATTCCTGGAATACCACAGCTATAACATCAATCTAACATTACCATAACTTGCGTAATTACATTATACCGACATGAATTCTCTTTCAATTTCAAATGCAAATTCTCTTCCTCAGTTTCCCGTCCTAAATAACCCTGTGGTATTGCTGTGTTGTACAGGCAAATACAGTTGTACTGAGTAAAGCTCAATGTTACTCAGAAGCTCATTTTGAGGCTTAATTCTGTCTACAAAATGCTTTGAAATCCCTTGTATTTTACACTTCTGGGGTGCATGTCGCCGCTATTCACTGAATCAGACTAGAAAACAATAGAGATTAATTATGCAGGAAATCTGTATACTTTTCTTCCTATCAAAATATTAATTCCTCACACTGCACACTACACAAAAAAGATATTAAGACAAAATTCCTTCATTAGGAGTACTTATGCTTCCAGCAACCTACATCATTTTTACCCCTAAAAAAACAACAACCCCCCCCTTGCAGTCTTTTGCTACAACTTAAATGGAGCTCATGCTATGATTGTTTCTTTACAGAGCTAAAAGCTTGTTTTTTCTTACCTTAACATTTCCTTCACTGAACCTAACATGGACTCTGACTTTTTTATTAAAAAAATGAGGATGAGGGCAGAGGGGTCGGCCCTGCAGGGGACGATGCCGCTCCACGCAAGACAGAGACTGGGAGGAGAGACAACACCAGGAGGAAAAAACGCCAGGTCCTAGTCATCGGGGACTCCCTGCTGCGAGGGCTGGAAGGTCCGATCTGCAGGCCCGACCCCATGTCACGGCAGGTCTGCGTCATGCCTGGGGCTCGGGTCAGGGACATCACGGAGAGGATCCCGGGCTGCATCCGGCCTGCAGACCGGTACCCCATGGTTGTCGTCCATGTGGGTACAAACGACG